TTCCCGGAAGGTTCCAGAGAACAGCCCCGTCCGCGGGAACCTCAGGGAAAGTAATCTCAGGGTACGCCCTGGATACCCCACCTTGCTGTCGACATGTTCTTTTGTCCATTTTTGCCGAAGAAGGTTGACGTCAAGCTACAAGGCAGTTGCTGGGTTTCCTTAGTGTTTTCTGGACTTTCTGAAACTCAAGGCGCTGGGAAGGGTCACGAAGGTGGTGGCCCTCTCAATGTGTTCTCTCATGCAATGAACCTCGGCAACAACTGGGGCCGTCGAGAAAGTCCCCCCGTTTAGGAGAAAGAAAGTGGGGAACAGGGCTCTCAAACGCAACACAGTCATGCTCGAGAAGACAACCAGTTCCTGCAGCGTCGGGCGCTCTGCACGGAGCCTCTAACGCAGGGACTCAAGGGACCCTCTGATGTTCGAAGAACAACCAAGGAATCCCTGCGGGGCAGGCCACCGCCGACTGCGGCCACTCCCTGGGTGCAAGGCCGGAGACGCACGCTCCTCTGCGCTCCACAGGGCCCAGAACCGGGGGGTCAGCAGAGGGTCTCGGCCTCGGCGGCAGGAAGCGGAGGGGTCGGGGGCCACCATCGCCCCCCTTCTCTGTACCTGCCGCCAGAAATCTTCAGGCAGGTTCTCAGCGGAGTTTTGGCAGCTGAACAATGTGTTTGGCAGAGAGAAGGCGGCTGTCAGAGGGGACAAGCGTACCAACCAGAAGCCTGCGGACACAGGCCAGGTTGCAGGACTTTTCTGTGAACGGGGACAAGCCTGGGCTGCACAGATGGCCTGGGAGATAACGCGAGGGACACACCCAAACGGAGCCAGTGCTCGTAAGAAAGTGGAAACAGATTCTTCCCCCAAAACCCTCTGTCCCTGAGAGGGGATGACCCCACGCTGACCGGACCCTTCCCCAAAATGGTCCTTCTACCTTCTGGGTGGCCTTCCAGTCTTCCCTAGTCACGATGGCCCAAAGTCCTTCGTCCTCGGACGGACGTTTTCTTTGGACTGGCCCTGAGGGTAAGCAGAGGAACAGTCCGGAATGACCCGCAGAGTGTGACATGGGAGTACGAGGGGGCCCCGCCAGCCTGCACCCAGAGGGGAGAGTCGGCGCAGCTTTCTGGAGAAAGCGGGGAGCTCAGCGATTGAAGTGCAGAGGGGAGCGGAGGAGAGGGCCCCCGCTGGAGAGCCCTTAGAACGACCTCATCCTGAAGAATGCCGCTTCCACCCATGTTTGAGGAGGGACGCCCGGAACCTTCTCAAAGCCAGCAGGGTGGAGCCGGGGCTCAGGATGGGGAAACAGGATGAAACCTGGGCCCCACCCACCCCTCTACGCTGAGCTACACCTGGGTGTATACGGTTTTCTGCAGGGTTAAGGAGGGGGAGGTATAAATAAAAGATGAACTGCACAGGGCACTGCAGACAGCTCAGGAGTCTCATTCCTCCCCCTGCAGTTGGAGGAACAGCCCACTAGATGGCAAAGGCCCACAGCCGGTTCTGAGGACAGGGCAGGGGTGGGGGGTCAGTCTGCAGTAAACGGCGGGGGGGGGGGGGGGGGGGGGAGTCAAAGTCTGGACTGAAGACAGACCTGTCAGTGGCCCCGAATCTTGTAACCTGCTCCATTCTGTAGTGCCCAACCGGGTACCCCAGGACTTCCCCCAGGGGCCCAGGCTCTTCTCACAGGATGGCCCCCTGGAGCACTGGGGCCCACTGGGAGCACTGGGACCCAGAGTCCCCCACCCCCTCTGCACACCCTCCTTCAGCAAGCCTGAGCTGGCCCAGCAGGGGGCCAAGCAAGTGTTCAGAAAATTAACAACCGGTCCTGCAACACAGACTGTCCCTGTCGTCAGATGGAGACAGAAGGGACAAATAAGAGGGTAGGCCCCGGACCAGCCTGAGACCAGGGGGCAGGAAGGGCGGCTTGAAATGAACCCAGAAACCCGGTCCCTGCTCCAAAGACATGTCCAGATTCCTGACACCGAAGGCCGAGGAGACAGCTTGAGACCGCCATCGTGAGAGTTACTGACAGACACCTGCGTGGTGCTCCCTCCGGCTAGGACCCATTCTCGACTTTTTAACGTGAATTAACTCAATTAGCAGTCCATGTCCTCACGAGACAGTGCATTATTCTCGTACAGGGGAAGAGACCGCGGCACGGAGCCCCTAACCGCCTGTGCACACAGCTCTCCAGCCTCCCCAACATCAGGGAAGAGGCAGACCCTCCAGGTCCAAAGAACCACTTTGAGCCCTGTGGCTCCAGGCAAGTCCCTCAACTCCTGAGCCTCGGTTTCCTCATCCATTCAATGGAGCCAGCACAACTCAGGCAGAGCGGATGGGAGGACCAAAGTGGACCAGGGGAGACAGCAGCTGATCTGGAGAGGTGTCCTGCCCCTCCCCTGACCCCTCCCTGCTAGAATCCTAGATGCTGAGTCATCATCCTGGCTTCCTTCAGGAGGCACAGGGAACTTGAGTCATGCCTTGGATGGGATTCCCTAGAGCTGGGTCCCATCGAAAAAGAGCAGCTTCAGGCCATCAGAAAAACACAACGGACTTTTTCCTCCCCATGCACCTCAGCGTCCCCAGCTCTGGTCAGATCTTCAGTCCAACCTGGAGGGGCAGCCTGAAGCCAGCCAGCCAGCACCACTGGGCGGGCGGTGCCCTTTCTCTCCAGACTGATTCAGGTCATGACTCAAGCACACCTGATTACACGGAAAGTGAGTGCCTAAACAAAGAATCACCTGCGTGCTGTCGGGAGCGGTTCCTCACCAGAAACTCAGCTGAGATCCAACGTACTTTTACCCCTCTGACAGCACCTTGGACCGCCTCCAATCCCCACCTGGAGACCCCCCGAGAGGGGTCTGGAGAGGCAAGGTCCCGTTCCACCCGGGCCCTGGTGAGTTGCTCCCTGTCTCTGGGCCTCGGTTTCCTACTGTAAAGTGGGGAGAAGGTGGGCCAGCAACTTGTGTGAATTTTGGTTCCATTCCAAGTGATCAAGCCAACAGTCAGCAACCCTGGACTCGCTGGCTGTTCCCGGGGGAGCCAAATCCAGCGCTGTCTCGGGGACTACCTGAGTGATCCCCGGGGAGGGAGTCCTGCCATGCAGTCAGCGTGTGTATTCCATCTCCTCCCAAGTGTCAGGCGCTGGGCCAGGGGCCAGGCTGCAGGGCGAGGCTGGCACAGCCTTGCTCATCCTCCGGCAGCTCATCCTTGAGCAGGAGGCCAGGTGCCACAAAGCTAGTAAGTGACAGGTCAGGGCCACCCCGGGTCTCACTCCTCATGCCATTGCAACTGTTCCTCCAGAGGTGCCTCACTTCCTGACCTCCCCTGGCCCCACCCCCACTCTGTGCCCCAGCATCTGGCACCCAGGACTGTGGTCTGTGCCTCCCCTGCACTTCTCCCCCGGCTGGTGAGCCCCTTGAAGACAGGTGCGGCGTCTGCTCTCCCTGTACCTTGTGTATTTCAATTAGTCTCTGGGAAACTTAGTCAAGACTCCAAACTTTCTGTACAGGAGGAAGCTGGGCTGAAAGGTTTGCCTTGAAACTGTTTTCATAGCAAAAACAAGGTTTGTCTGCAGATATTCTGTTTGTTTGAGGTGGCTTAGGAGGCGTTTCAGTGTGGCGGGGGGTGGCATGGGCAGACTGAAGCTCTCCTGTGTGGCCACTGGCTGACTTCTCTTTGAATCTCCTATCTCCGGGTAACGGAAAGGGACCCAGCAAACCAAGTGCCCAGGACACCTGTGTAGATGAGCTGGTCTTGGGTACAATATAATGGGCTGTCCCCACCACATCCCCCACTCCCACCAGCGGCCAGGCACCTCCCCCTTCCAACCACCAATGGGTGCTGTCCCTGACCTGCAGGGATGTCTGACAACTGAGGCCAGACACAGAAGGGTGGGGGAGTTGCACGTTGGAGGAGGGGCGGGGGGGTGGGGTGGAGCAGGGCTCAGAGAGCCATCCACGAACCCAGCTTCGGCTACTAATTTGACAGGGGCGGTGACAGGCCTTTCCCCTGACCCCACCACGTTGCACAGCCCTGCCCAAGGCTGAATCAGAGACGCGCAGGACCTCCAGGGAAATTCCGAGCAAGTCCAGCTGTTCTCTCTCCTGGAGAGCAGAGCAGGACAGGCGGCAGGGGCGACAAGGAAAGCGGGGGAGGATGGGCGAGGCGAAAATGACGCCACTCCTAGCCCCAGCCAGCGCCGGGCCGCCAGAGGCAGCAGGACCCCACTGGGCCAGGCCACCTATCAGGAGCCTCCACAGCACCAACCGCGGGCCACCTCTGGGGGCGCACCCTGCCCAGCGGCGAACGCACACACTGGCTTCAGCGCCTGTCTTAGGAGCTGTGACACACCTCAGACTGTCCCCCAACACACACACACACACACACACACACACACACACACACACACACACACACCACCCAGGCTTCCAGGCTCAATCAGCCCCAGTCCCTCAGACGCATATCCTTCTGGTTCAGTTTGGACACCGGACACACCCACGCCCCCTCTCCAGCTTCTACCCACCTCCTTTCCACACACGCGCACGCACAATCCCTGTGTCCCCAGACACCCCACTGTACCGATACAGCCCCCCACAATCCCCTCCCAACACACACACACACACACACACACACACCCCTAGGCCCCCCTCCTGCTCCCACTTCCAGCTCCCGGGCCCGGGCCGCCAGCGGCGATTCTGGGACAACGTTGGGATGCGCGACCAGGTGTCCCCAGCAGGCTCTCCACCGCCTCCGGGATCTCCAGGATCCCACACCCCCAGCTACAGAAGAAAAGCGCGGGGACTCCTCTTCCCCCCCTCCTCTTCCCTAATAGAAACACCCCACTCCAGAGGTGCCCGCGCCCCAAAGCCCTCCACACGCCCACGCCACGGACCGCCGCGCGCACTGGCAGCTCCGGGGACCACAAAGCGCGGTCCAGGAGTTGCAGCAGCACCCGCGGGCGACCGACCTCCCTCTGCCCGGCAGGAACAGGGCGTGGAGCTCACCTAGGGTAGAGAGAAAGACGGAGTGGGAGCTAGGCTGGCGGTGCCAGGCGTGAATGGAGCAGGGCGGCGAAAATGGGCGTGCGCTCCGAAGACCGAGCCGAAAGCCAGGCGGTTTGTTTATGTCCGGGAGGAGGGAGACTTTATAGGCGCCGCGGCCCCGCCCCCGCGCCCGCCCCGCCCCGCCCCTCCCGGGCCCTGCTCGCGGGGCACACCCCTCGTCCGCTCTGCTGCGTGTCGCTCCTCCCGCTCGCCCGCGCCTGCCTCAGCTCCAGCCGCGCTGCCAGCCCCGCCGGGCCCGCCTGTTGCGCAAGCCCTGGTAGGGGCGCGGCGGGGAGGCACCTCTGGGCTGGTCTGCGGTTCCACTCTGCTGTCCCCTCCCTCGCCCGCAAGGCCGGGACCTCCCTGGCGTGTATAGTGGGCGTGCGTGCACTGGGGATGCGTTTGTGTGCGTGTGCGTGTGCGCGCTCAGGCATGTGCCTGTGGACTTCCGTGTGTCCCTGTGTGACCGACTTCTTCTTCCGAGTCCTGTCGCGCCACACGCGGACACCCCTTTGAGGCGACTCCCGCACCTCTCCCAAGTCTTGGCTCCCAAGACCCATTTAGCTGCTTTAGCGCCGCTGCCTCCTGTGCTCCCAGGCGACCAGCGATTCTCAGTCCATGCCCCTCCTGTTGCTGGGCTCTCCGCTGAAATCCTCCATCCCATTTAATCTCGTCCATCTTGTCCAGCCCATCCTAATGCCAGGGAGAGCCCCTTTCCCTCCACCTCCCAGTTCGAAACCCACCTGCCCACCACCCCTCACACCCCCTCTCTGCATCCTTCTCACCTCTCCCAGGAGCCTGGCTGGGAACATTCTCCCAGATTCCTCTCCTGGCTCCCGGAACTTACACCTGGCTCCCTTTGCACCGTTAGCTGTCCTCTGCTGTCTTGTTTTTGTCTAAAGAGTGCCTCTGCGTTCTCAACCTGCACCACATAGCAGAATCCCCAGCGGAATGTTCTTTAAAAAGGTGAGCACCAGGGCCCGTTTAATCAGAACCTCGGGGAGTGCAGACCAGGCATTGGGGTGTTTGGAAAGCTCCCCAGGTAATTCTAATAAGCAGCCCTTGGGAGAAACGCTGCATTGGAAGAACATCATTGCACAGTAAAGCAGTGTCACCATCCCAAGTCGGACATAGTCGTCGTCCCCAGACTCACTGCCCAGCCTTGTCTTTGCAGCTCCTGTGCCCTTCCCCCACCCTCCCTCTTCTGGCTGATTATGAACCTCTTCAGTGTGCTCCAGGCAGGGGACTTGGCTCGCCTCTGTGCATCCCGTTTTGCCTCCTAGGCCCTGACATCCACTAACTCTGTCATTCCACAAATATTTATTGAGCCTTTGCTGAGCCAGGGTCTGTGCTCAGCCACTGGGAAAAAACTGAAAAGGCAAAGTTCTTTCCTTTCAGGGCGTAGCTGAGAGCCTTGGTTCTCCGTCTCCCCGTTCTCATTAGGTAAGCTGAACTCATTCACTTGGTAACTGGCCTGAGCACCTACTATGTGCAGGCACCGTCTCGCCTGGGGGACCGGCGGTGACCAACAGTGTGCCTCCTCCGCGGCGCGCTGTTATCTGGAGATCCCTCTCACACCGACAACCTCCATAGCAGCTTTCTCTCACCCCCTCACATACATCCCTTTCCCTGACCTCAACAAACATTCCGTTTCAACAAACATGTCTTGAGCTCCTATGGTTTACTACCTGCCAAAGGTACAGGGAGTCAAGTTCAAAAGCCTAAAGAAGGCTGCCTTCAGTGACAAGTGCACACCCCGGTGTGTGGGCCGGAGCAGGGCACGGTGCCTGGTGAGGTCATTTCCTGCCCCTCTGAGGAAGTCTTTGGGGCAAAGCACACAGAGGCCTGCAGCCAGAGGCCCTCAGGTTGCCCAGTGGGAGGCTGGGTTTGTGCTTAGGAGCCCCAGATTTCTGGAAGACAAGGAGCAGAGAACAAATTAGGGGAAAGGGAAGGGATGGTCCCAGGAGCACAGGGAGGAGAAAAGAAGAATTAAAACAGGAAAGGAGAATTTTCTGAGCGAAGCAGCGTTCTAAAGCCAGGATGAAAGGAGACCATTGCAGAGTCCAAATCAGCTTGGAGCGGTTCCAGGGACGGTGCCTTTGGACCCACACTCCCTCCCTCGTAGGTCCCGCCCAGCCAGCCTCTCCGTCTGTGTTAGGTGGGTTGTTGCCTCTCCCCTGAGCACTGGATGCAGCTGTTCCGTGTATTTAGCTGAGGTGGCCACGCTCTAGGAAGGATGGACTTTGGTGCAACTCTGGGTGCACAAACAGGTGGAAGATGCTCAGTCTATGAAGTGGCCCCCCAGGAACTGAGAGGTGCCCACAACCACATCCCCCAGCTCAATCCAGCTGAGGCCGCAGAAGCTCTTGGAGCCCAATGTGGGTGCAACCGTATTGAGCTGTTTAAATTCTTTCTCTTTCTTGTTGGTCAGTAATGGAATTAGATTGCTTACTACACGCTCATGTGCTGCAAACCCATCACAGAAAGAGACTGGATTTTCTGGGCTCATGTTGCCTGGAAATTTCTATTTAGCAACACCCTAACTTTTATCTTGGAATGTTTGAACTGAAAGGACCATTGGGATCATCTATTCCCAACCCTCTCTCCTGGATTGTGTGAATACTCGGGGTCGAGAGAGACTCAAGAGGCAGCAGGAGTTTGTGGGGAAGAACATCTGATTTCAGCCCTTGGGAGCTGTGTTCCTGTGGGCAGTTACCCGGCCTCTCTGCACGTCCATCTCGCCGTGCCCACAGAGGAAATGGGCGAGGGGAGCCATCAAACGTCTCAACCACGATTTGTGAGCCCACTGATACGGTCCCGCATTCTTCCTCTTCCTGCTAAGATGAGAAAGTGTTCCTGAAGCAGCAGCATCTCCCAGCTCCCGTTCTGGGCTCCCCCTCAACCCCCTGCTCCTCCAGCACCATGTCTCCTCTCTTCTGGATCCTTCTGATCAACAAGTCACATTCACTACAATCAAAGACCCTCTAGACTCTAGAGTCTAGACCAATCCTCTCTTGACCCCGAGTCCTCTTCCAGTTACTGTAGCCCAGTGGCTCTCACCCCTTCCTCCCCAAACTTCTCTAAACAGCTTCTAGACATGTGGTCTCCGCTTCCTTATGTCCCCTCACTTTCACTTTTCGGTGTTTAATTTAGCAAGTTCCCCATGGACCTGGTAAATAATTCTACAAAGCTTGTTAGGAAAAACAGTGGCCTTCGAACCATCTTCTTCCCCTCCCCCACTTTTCTGAAGTCCCCTCCTCCTCCTCATGACCATCATCATCACCATCATGACCATCATCACCATCTCCTCCGACCTCCCCTGGCTTCTGGCACAGTCTCCGACACACACACGCTCTGAGTAAATGTCGGCCGAGCAGGTGAACAGACGCAGGTTTCCTGGCCTCTCCCACTTGCCGCAGCCCTGCGTAGACTCTGCGCGGAGGGTGGGGGTCCTCCTGCCTGCTGCAGGAGCCCGAGGGAGAGACCGTGTACATTCCCGACCCTCCGAGAGCCTGCCTGACCCGCGATGCGCAGCTGTGCGCTGTGGGAAGACCCTGTGCCGTTAGGTGTTGGCCTGCGTCCAGGCTATGGAAAGAATCTTCGCTGGGAGCGGAAGTGAAGAGCTGTAGAACTTTGGGCCCACGGAAAATCCACTTCTCTTCCTTCCTGGTGTGTAACAGTTTGTCAGGGCGGCAGTAGCAAAGCTCCATAAACTGGGTGGCGTAGAACAACGCAAACCTGCTGCCTCACAGTGCGACGGGCCAGAAACGTACAATCAATGTGTGGGCAGGAAGCTGTCTCTGAAGGCCCCAGGGAAGAATCGATCCCCCCTCGCCTCTTCCCAGTTCCTGGTGGCTGCTACGACCCTTGGCTTGTAGCTGCACCCCGTCTCTGCCTCTGTCGTCACATGGCTTCTTCTGTGTCTCTGTCTCCGTATCTCTCCACCAGCCATACTGGATTAAAGGCCCATCCTAATCCAGTATGACCTCGTCGTCACTAATTACATCTGCAAAGACCCTATTTGGAAATAGAATCACATTCTGAGGTTCTGGGTGGAGACGAATTTGGGAAGGATGAGATTCAACCCTGTGCATGGCTAATGCGTACTTAACAAGCACTTGTAGCCTATGGACAAGGAGACCCACTTCCTGGCCCGCTCCACAGCCCCGAGGACACGGTTGTCACCTGGCCCCCGCAGCAGGCCCCTCTCGCCCTCTGCCCTCTCCATCCCATGCTTGGCTTCATCCTGAAGCAGGTCGATCACAGGTCCGGCCATTGCTCCTGTCGCCTGCCCAGCTCGCCAGCCCCTCTCGGTGTGACAGTGGAGATGGCCCCGCACACGTCCAGACCAGACTCTCCTCCTCCAGCCACTGGGTTACTCCCCACTTTACCTCGAATAGACCCATCGCGCCGTCACCTCTGAATCTCTCACCCAGCTGTGTTCTCCTTCTAGAAGCCCCCCACAGCCCCTCCACTCGGCGGGGGAGCACTGGGATTGTTCAGCACCCACTCGGGCTCCTGGCTTCCTGCCCCCGCCCGTGGTCGGGCACATCCGTGTGACGCACTGTCAATGAGTGTGCAGTGGAAGTGACCCCTGTCACTCCGGACAGGAACTTTAACAGCAGCGTGTGACTCACCCCACTCCTGACTCCTGCCTCGGCCACTAGCAGCACTCAGATGCTGGGGGCCCATCCCCTGGGCCCGGAGGGAGGAAACGTGAGCAGAGTCCCCGCTGACCCCAAAAGGACCTGTGACACGGGGAAGAAATAAACCCTGTTGCCAGTAGGACTGAGGGTTTTTGTCACTGCAGCCTGACCCAGCCCATCCTGACTGAGTCACTGTCCTCGGGGACCATGCCAAATGTCAATTCCTCCAGGAAATCCCCCTTGTTCTTTTCCAGCTACATTTGCTGTATTTCTAAAATAATTTTTTTTCCTTTTATTTATTTTTAGAGAGAGAGTGGACGGGAGATGGAGAGAGAGAGATAGAAACATCCATGAGAGAGAACATCGACTGGCTGCCTCCTGCACGCCCCCACTGGGGATCAGGCCCACAACCTGG